AAATCAAAGTATTTTGTATTTATTCAATCAGTTTTATAGGCGAGCGGTTCACCCCTAAAAAGATGCTTCTAAATGAAAGTAACCGACTAAATTTTTAAAACAAAAACCTACAGCATGAAACTTTTTTTATTTTATAGAGTATTTTTCTGATAATTTACATATTTTTTTATATTTTTCGGCGTGGTCAGTCAATTGTTATAAACAAAAAAGTTGTAAAAAAAATTACTCGCCGAATGGCTTTGAAACCCGTTTTTTTTTGTAAAATGTACCAAAATAAACACTTTTTGTTATTTGACAAACATTCGAAAAATGCTTCGTTTCCGAGATATTTACAATTTAATGTGAAAAAAGTGACGAAATCGACAAACTTTCGGAATTTTTTTTCAAAAGCTACTTAGAAATTAATTCTAAAAAAAGCATAATAATCGGCAGATCTTCTAATTTAAGATATATTTTTTTGGTATAGGTCAATTATTTTATTGAAGGTCTAAAGCAAGTAAAAAAAAAACAGTCTTTTAAAGAAAATCAAAATGGCAAATAAGTGAATGGAAGCAGGCTACAAATAGTGAAATTGTAAAATAGTTGTTTGGATTTTAATTATTTCGAAGGAGAAACTGCGTTAGATATGCTTCAAAAATATTTTTGTTCATGTAGTAGAAAATTTTCTACGAAAAATTGTAACTGCTTGTCATCGAACCTGGAATGCTGTGTAGTCTGTGCGTGCTCAGATGAATGTCAAAATATTCCATCCGAAATTGATGATGAAACGCTTATTTCAACTCAATAACTTGTCGAAAATAACGAAAATCTTATTATTTAAAAATTAAATAAAAAAGAAATTAATATACTTTTATTGCTCTTAATATTTTTGTGAATTAAAAATAAAAGAATTATCCTATACAATAAATTATCCAATAACTTATTTATTTTTCGAGACCACTAGGTCAATTATTATTATTAGGTTAATTTTACGATTTGAAAAGCTTATTTAGTTTAGTTTTAGTATAACTTTCAAGACTAATTACTTGCAAAAACCTTACTCCGGCTACAAAACCAAACAAAATGATCTTTTGAACATTTGTACTGTTAACATATATCGATTAAAAAAAATTATAATAATGTTTATTGTAAAATTATAATCTAATCCGAGATATTGTAAAAATAAAATTTAAATTTGTGTTATCATAATGTTTTCTTTAAAATACTTTTTTTACTCGCTTTAGACCTTCAATAAAATGATTGATCCATACCAAAAAAATATATCATGAAGTAGAAAATCTGCCGATTATTATGCTTTTTTTAGAATTAAAATCTGTTCAGTAGTTTTTGAGAAAAAAATTCCGAAAATTTGTCGATTTCGCCACTTTTTTCACATCAAATTGTAAATATCTCGGAAACGAAGCATTTTTCGAATTTTTGTCAAAGAACAAAAAGTGTTTATTTTGGCCCATTTTACAATTAAATTCCATTTTCAAAGCCGTTCGACGAGTGATTTTCTTTACAACTTTTTTGTTTATAACAATTGACTGACCACGCTGAAAAATATAAAAAAAATATGTAAATTATCAAAAAAATACACTTTATAAAACAAAAAAGTTTCATGCTGTAGGTTTTTGTTTTAAATATTTAGTCGGTTCATGCCTTTTCTTTAGGAGTGAACCGCTCGCCTATTAGGGAAGATGCTAATCATAATTATATTTTTATATTGTTCAACAAGATAGTGTAAATTCAGATCCTAATTAGTAGGCCAACACAGCATAAAACAATTATAAACCAGTCATTTTGACAAATATACAGGGTGATTAAAAAAATGGTGACCAAAAATTAAACCTCGTATTGTTTGGTGAATTTTAAGGGGAGTTTTTCTTATTCAGTTTTTATCTAGGACACTTCGTTAAAAAAATACAGGGTGTTAAACTTCAAAAAATTTTTTATTTTTCTTAAATAATTTAAAAACTAGTAAGTGAAATAATTTGATATTGGGCACATGTATTTATGTAAACATTGTCCAAAATCTGAGGGTTTTTCCCTAAAATATACATGCTCCAGTGGCGGAGATACAGGGTATCGGTGGCATATTCGTTAAAAGGATACAGGGTGTATTTTTTTAACGAAGCATCCTAGAGAAAAACTTTGTAGGTAAGACTCCCCTTAAAATTCACCAAAAATACGAGGTTTCATTTTTGGTCACCATTTGTGAATCGCCCTGTATTTCTGTTTTTACCTGAATACTTTCAAATATTTTTTTACAAATTTTAGTGTGACTTTCTATACACTTTGAATATATCTTAAGGTCCTTTCCTCGGGATTTTCTTACTTGAAATTGTATAACCTTGTCGCAAAATTCAGTTCTTCGTGTCCCAACATCAAATTAGTTCAAATCAAATCTTAAGCTAATGTTACGAGGGTTTTCTGTTCTTGTACCCCGTTACTGATTGGTATTTAAATAACTGCGGCGTGTTTATGCACTGGTGAATTTTCACTTTTGGAATTTTAACGGATTAAAAGTCATTGCTCCGGAACTAATTCCTTGTGTAATCATAGGTCGGTTACGTGCCTTTCTTTATAATACAGGGTGTTCCATTTCAGGTGAATTTTCCATAGCTCGGGCAAAATCAATAACACAACAAATAAATGTTGCACCGAACCCATTCCTTCATGTTTTTAAATTATTTTTCGTTGTTCAATTTCTTCTGGACGGTGCAACTTGTATTAGAATCACTTTTTTGTATTATTGATATTACTAAAGCTGTTATTGAGACTGTTTTGTATGTGAAATGTAAGTCGAGCATATGAGGGTATTGTCTGAGGTTATTTATTTGCGAACGTACTCGTAGTTTTCTTTATTTTTTTGTAAATTTGGACTGCTGTTAAAAAATTTAAAAAATTTGAAATAAACCCTTGCGCATTATTTTTATGAAAATTCACTTAGAAACTAGAAATTTCACACTGAAAAGAGCAGCTAAATACAAAAAACACATCATCATACAGGTTGTTTCTTAAGTAAGCTAATTTCTCAGTTCATTTCAGCCGTGTTGTTCGTCAGTACATCGACAACTCCTTTCCTAATCGCCGGATTGGACGCAGTTCCCCAAGCTTGGCCAGCTCGCCGTTCCGATATGAATCCTTGCGACTTTTATGTATGGGGCCATCTCAAGACTCTTGTGTATAAGGCGAAACCGAATAATTCAACCTTACGATGTCTCAATGAGATAATCAATGATGGAACAATTGAAATCGTGCTTTTTTATCAGAAGGTGGCCATTTTCAACATCTATTTTGATTTTGTGTCGAAACTGACACATTCTATGATTATTATTTGTAGTTGCCGGCCATTTTTCTAAGAATAAGTTAGTATTAGGCAAAAAATTCAAGACACCTTTTTTGTTGTAAAATGTTTGGCGAGTCCGAAAATAACAGAAATTTATAGAAAGCCATTGGCGTTCTACATTTTATGACGAAAACGTCGACTAACTCAGGCCTAACTAAGCCACTGGCGGCAGATAAAAATTGGCTTTATATTAAAAATGCAGCTCTTTACCAACGTACCAAATAACTTGCAGAATGACCGAAAAAATCGCCCGTTTTTTCACAATTCGCAGAGAACTAAAGGAAATAGATAAAAATATGTTTTTGGTCTCAAATTACTCGTAAAAAATAAGATGAGCATAGCTTTTAGTTTTTTGAAAATTTTCAAAAATCACCCCTATTTAGGGGTTGAAAAGACGCTCAAAATGAAGAATTGAATAGGTATTACTAATAAATATAAAAACTATTATCATGTGAATTTTTCAATCGAATGATTCTTGATACAAAGATTTATTCTCATGACTGAAATAAGCATTTTGAATTAGAAAATCCACCCTTAAGCGCGCTCAGGGAGTGAAATCATCCCCAAAAATAGAGAATATCAGAAATAATTGTAAAATTCCAAAAAATATATATTAAGATAATTCACATCTAATAGTTTTTATATCAATAATTGGTAATATTCAAATTCTTCATTTTTGGCATTTTTTCAACCCCTAAGTAGGGGTGATTTTTAAAATCTTCAAAATACTAAAAGCGAGACTAAAAGCTATGGTCATTTCAGTTTTTTTCGACAAGTAATTTGCGACCAAAAACATATTTTTATGTATTTTTTTAATTCTCTGCGGATTGTGAAAAAACGAGCGAAAATCACAGGTTTTTTGCGGTCACTCTTTATGAACCTAACATTGACTGTTCCAATTTTATTTCAAATATTAATATATTTTTTCAAATTTTCGATACCCTGTATCTCGGAATCTATGCCACTTCCGGCCATATGTTTATAGGAACTTGTTTTCTTTAAATACCATAAGAAATTGTGTCCTGAAGTTAAGGACCGTACTTAGGAAACTTAGCACATTTGAAAAAGATGTTAACGTTTTGAAAATAGTGTTTTTTGTATTTGTCTGCTTTTTTCAATAAAATTTTTGATTAGGCAAAACTATTTTCATAAAAATAAGCCTTATAAGAGTTTACTAATTTTTTCACAGGTGGCAAAACAAACAAACAAATAATGAAAACATATAAAGGGTGTCCTACAATTATTTTGGCAACTAATTAGAAGAATTATTAATTAGAATTATATGTAGAAGATTTTAAAGAATTTTTTGTTTGTATAGCATTTTTTTTAATATATCGAGAAATTGCTATAGAATTTATATTTTTTCGTTAGTTACAGACGTCGCATTTTTCCCCATAGTTTTTTTAATAGTTATTATTTGTTTTTCAAGCAATCAAATCATGAAATCGTGATACGGGGGTTATTTTATTTTTTTTAACGCTGGGACCTGATTTCGAAGCAAAAGAAGGTACCTAACGGCTATCGCTCAATTTACATAACGTCATGGCCTACCTGAGAAGGGAACAAACCAACCAGGTAGGCCTACTGTTCACAATCCTAGGGGCAAACTGGTATGAAATCCTGCTAATACAGTGACAAATACATAGACTCTAAGCACGCCGACAGTCACCTTCATAAGCTGCAGCCCCCGTGCATCGCCGGCTCCCAGAACATCACAAAAATAACATAAGGTGCACCACTCCCTGCCTTCTAGACCACGTGCGGACCACGGCACACCACGATCACACGACAGACCGAAAATTCGCGGCCTGTTTCATTGACGAAACCCCAAAATTCCGAACGGCACAGAAACTGAGTCATATTCCAGGGAATACACAGCCATCCTGTCGATTGTAACGCTAACCGCGACCATAGCCTACTGAGTCGGTGGGACCGGCTCGAGCCCGCCGAACGTCAAGTCGGCCGTGCGTCTCCATTAGCCAGACGGAGACGGCGGTAGTTCCTCTGTGTCCCTCTGTTCGAGTCGCCGAGTTGTAGGAGGAGCGACGGAGACGGACGACGAAGCCCGGACAGCGAGAGAGAGAGACGAGCGAGTGTATCGGCGCCGCGCCGGTGATCGTGGGGCGCAACGGACGCAGGCGCCGCGACGCTGGTCCCGGACCGTCCATTCAGGCAGATGGGTTGGCAGGCAGATGGATTGCCGGGGCATCGGAGCGGATGATACGGACGGGATTGTAGTTTTACAGGTGTTCGGGTACTGGGTGACCTGGTTAAGGTTTGGGGAAGGTGGGAAGAAACATTTGTTGAAATTAAGGACACGCATAAGTGCCATTGTAGCAGGCGGTAGCTCGTTCTGCGGATCCATATGACTGGGTGCGATTCCATAGGTGTATCAGTTTAAAGGGTCCAGTTTTACACTTTCATCACTTTTTTAGGACATAATAAACATCTTCGACACATATTTTTGTTAAAGAACTGCACATATCCGCTTTTCTTGCTCAAAAACCTTTATACGCATTGCTTCACATACAACGTATAGTCTGGATTGACGTGAAATTTGAACTGTAGCTAGGGAATAGCCCAAGAAACAAAAGTTACATAGTGCCGATGTGTGCTTTTACCCTAGGGGTGGATGCCACCCCTCCTGAAGGGTGGGAAATTTTTTATTAAAAATAACGAAGTGACGAATTCTAAGCAAAAATTGTTCTATAAGAATTTTTTGTACAGTAAATACTTTTTGAGTTATTTGCGCCTAAACATGTTCGCTTTTAGCCCAAAAAATGCACGTTTTTGAACCATTTTTCGCGAATATCTCATAAACTACAAGTTTCATTTAAAAAATGATAATAAGCAAAATGAAGGTAATTAAATAGCAAAGATATTGCTTTTTCTTATTTTTGCAGATGGTATAGAACCCGAGTTATGACTCCCAGAAATTGAAGTCAATTTCGAAGATAGTTATAATCGAAACGTTCAACGTTCTGTAGCAGAAAAATTAAAGGTTTTTCGAGGAAAACTTATCTATATAAATAACACCTATTAAAGTTCTTGAAAAGACCTTTAAATTGAGTGGTGGTAGAAGTCATTAGCATGAAAACTAATGAAGTTACAATGAAAATAAAACGATTGTCTTGATTTTTGAGAAAAAAAAATCGGTATTAAAATTAATGACTTGACGGAAAAAAAATTAAATCTATTCTTTCTGCAATTTACTTTATTTATGTATTAACAGTTGATTCTGGGAATTTGAACGATTTTAGAAGCCTAAATTTAAAAAAAAATATTTCATTTACTTTTGAATAAAATTTTTCATTTTTTAAAAATCGCATTTTTTTCAAAATATTTCAAAAACTAACAAAGTTATAAAAAAAATGATAGAATAAGAAATTGTAGGTTTTTTCTTACTGAACAATTTGTTTTTTTTTAATTTTTGTAGGACAAAATTTGACTTGAGTTATGACCATTAGAAGCTCAAAACTAAGCTCCAAGACTGTCTTTCCTGAGCCCTTTTAGCTTACAAATCTAAAAAACGAAGGGCTCAAAAAAACTGCAAATCACAGAACTCAATGTTTTAAATTCCCTACAAAATGGTTTTTTTAGTAAATTTATAACTTTAAAATTATAAAAGTTATGGTAAAAAAAATTAATCGCATTTTTTCGGTAAAATTTTCGGTGTGGGTAAATTACCATCATTTTTGTGTATTTTAAAGCACTTGTGAACTGATTTGAGTAAGTATACTAATAATATACATACACACACGTATCCATTTATAATGTATATAATTTTTTTTTTATTTGATATAAAAATATTAAGAATAAATTCAATAAAATTTAAAAAAATAATTATATCATCATACTCACACATAATTTTTAGAAAATTTTTCTATAACGGGTAGGGTTTTCTATGAGGTGTAGGTCTTCCATAAGGGTTTTTTGAGTGGCTGAAAAGTTGCAATATATCATAGATCATTTGAAAACCAATAAAAAGTTCAACATATGCATACCATTAAAACATATCAAGCTTTCAATAATATTTTATTTTATTATAAGGGATAGTTTTTAAGGGTTGCAACTTTGTAATGATTCGTAAGCTTCCTAATGAATATCAGAAGAAATGCAATACATTGTGAATGCACCAAAAGAATATTTTAAACTGTTAAAAACATTTTTTTTTTCTATTTCTTTTTTGGCCATGGAAGGTTAGTTTTTAAGGATTTTTAAGGGTTGAAAAGTAATTAAATTTCATAAATTATATTAAAAAACATGAAACGAACTTTATCCAACATATTTGAACATGAATTGAATCTTTAAAATACGTAAATCTGCGATTTTCGCATTTTTTTCAAACAAGGGTAGTTTTCACCCCCAAATAGAAAAAAGCACACATCTAGACAATATAACTTTTGAAGTGGGGAATCAGATGAGCTTGTATGCAAATTTTCAGGAAAATCCATGCTATCTGGAAAAATTGGGGGCTGTTACTTTATTTTCGCCTTCAATGTCTGGACTAGTACTGGTCTTTTAAATTATATGTATTTAATTTGTGAATCACAGTGTCACTGACCTCTGACATAGACCTAGTTCATCTGAACTATATTACTGTCACTAGGAACAGTAGAAATGGACGCATTTAGGAAAGTTAAAATGTTAAGAAATATGGCATGTTTCCACTTTTTCTTTCTTATTCAGCTTCAGAAGCGAATATTAAATTAATCCAAAATAAATAAAATAGCAACAAAATTAAATCGTGAACAGTTTAATTTTAAGCAGAATCCCATCATGTTCTGAACGCTCCCGATGGATAATGCCGCAGGCTAGCCACAGCTGTGCAGTTGTTATACCATGTCTCCGCATTTGAAAAGCGGCAGCTGCAAATTGACTTCACACCTGGTATGATATGACGCGATGGTAAATGGTTTGTTACAATTTTATTTTAGTTTTTCAGTTTATATGTTAGGTTAGGTTCGTAATGTATGATATTATAAAAAATCATGTATACGAATCAAGAAACAGTTGATATGGTTAGAACCTGCTGTTTTCCCAGAGAAAACGAGTTGACGAAATACTTTTTGGTTGTTTTTACCGGCCGTCCACCCTGTATACGACCGAGTTTTGAGGGTTCCGAGAACTGCGATTCATCAATCCGCCGTCTCGGCGCTCGTTGAAGCCCAAGAACGGTTTTTTGCTTATTTACCTTTGGAAAAGTTCCCTCGAATCCCTCCAGAAAATACGGGCGTGGAAATCCCTGTTTTTCCAACATTTATTTTTAAGAGAACGTAATCTAAACGGCACGCTGTTATTCACCTCATAATATTAGGAATGCTCTTACGTGTCTCGACCCCCGCAGTATCACCGGCGTAAACACATTTAAAATGTATTGAATCGCAGATCTAGAAGGCGAAAAATCTATCACCAATTTCTCAGTCTCATTTCTTTATTTTTGTTGACATATAAATAGTCCGACCCTTCCTTTACCTACGCCACTGTGGTGAACAAAATTAATTCTCAAACAGTGTTTTTTTCCAAAATTGTTCCGAGGTATATAAGCGTAAAAATGTTGACATTTACACATGGGCGTAGCCAGGAGGCAGAAGGGTCGCGGCTCCCCCCCCCCTAATTGTTGCTGCATGCCGTAAGTTTCAAAAAGTGTTTATGTTTTGAAATTTTATTTCGGTAGGTCGCTGATTGCTTGATTTTTTTTTATAATGAAACGAAAATGTGTTTAGGTTTTGAGTTGTGTTTTTTTTAGAGGTTTTCATAGAATTTACAACCCTGGGCCTACTCCTAGCAATTATCCTAGCTACGCCCATACATTTACAGTAAATACATTTGACGTCTATCATAGAAATATGATTATTAGAGTTATTTTCCATAATAGACACTTGAGGAGCTTGTAGAAAAGAAATATGTACTTCTAAATATGACGTACAAAGTATAGTTGTTACGATCTTTGGAACCGCATAAAAACATTTAACTCATCAATTCTACGGAATCCATAGACGTCCAGAAAAATTTTGCCCTGTCTCGTCTAGGTATACTATATTCCAGACGACACTAATTGTAACAAGATTTCGCAGCGTTGTCAACTTAACATATCTAGTTATTTACCAAAGTCAGTTTAATATCAAAGTGGTGTCGCGGGAAAATTTAAAATACTTTATAGATAGTTCTCATTAAATAAAATAATACTAAAGTAATAAAATGAATGCATAATGACATCCAATAATAATAAATTAAGCGTAAAATTTTGTGGTACTTTTTCTTGTTTTTTTTTTATGTAAATGTAACGTAAAATTAATTGTATATCACGATCTTATGTTTTCCACAAATACTAATTTTAAAATCACAAAAAGTCATCTGCTAAACTACTAACTTTTACCAAGTTATAACTGAATTGGTGCAATAAGTATTAAAGACTAAAAACGTTTACTGAAATATTGAGAGAATATTTCAATCAACACCAAAATATTTTTTTTAGGTTAGAAAGAATACACAAGGTATATTTTTTTTACCGTGGCAATATTCCTTAATGATTATCTTAATATATACCTAAAAATGTTAATGTACTTAGGTAAAACAACAAGTGTCTGGTATCAGGAATTAAAAGGTCGATGAAGAAAAAAATGAGAGGGCAGTGCAGATGAATAGTTCCGAAGGATCAGTTATTGCAGTTTGACAATGTTTTCACAACAATCAACCCCTGGCTGATAACACCGCTCCATTTTTTTTTAGAAAAAGTGTAATATTAAATGCAAATTAAAAGACTTATAATAGTTAGATTTTTATTTAGATTCATTTACAGAAATTCTAGACTTACTGCTATACAAAATGTTTACTAATAAATTTTTCTGATGGTAACAGAAAAGCCAATGTATGTAAACAAAAGCAATAACATTTGGTAAAAATTATACAAAATATAAATCAATATACTCAAGACGTGGAGTGTAGATGTGGAAAAAAATATATATGTAAACAATATTTATGTTTGTCTTATATTCAAAATATACATAGTAAAATGTAGAAACAAAAAAAAACTATTCTTTTAATGATAAAAAATGTATGATATGTAAGTTAGAGACGCTTTCATTAGCTGTAAAAAAACAAAACAAATAAAAATATGAACGAATTGCACTTTCCTTAAGTTTTTTTATAATCCATAACTATTAAAAAATAAACAAATGAACCTTATTTAAAGTGAGGTTATTTTACCTCCACCAGAAACTGGTGAAACTCAATTGATACCAACTAAATTTAAACAATAAAATTTGGTAAGCAACTAAATTCTAATTCAATTTATATTGGCAACATTGCGAAATCTTGTTACAATTAGTGTCGTCTCTATATTCCGAGTTATATTATAGTATTTCCGAAGTCAGTTGAATATGCAAAAAAAAACGTCTGGTAATAAAATTTAATGAGTTTCATAGGCGTCCTTAAAAAAATTTTCCGCTAAACCTTTAGGAACTTGTATCCCTGGGTGGTATGTGCGTTCTTTGGATACATTTTTAAATCAGATTTCATTTTTATAAAAAATCGTGATTTATTGCAATTTTCGTAATAATTAACAATAAATAAAACGTAACATTTGCGTATAAAACAATATAAAACAAAAGTATGAAATAATTTGGAACGCAACCAAGATTCGATAAGGTTATTGAACTGCATGGTGCCTGGGTTGACATTCGATCACACAGTACGTTGATTCCGCAGGGGGTTTTGTAGCGATGTCCGCGTCAGAATCAGAGAATTGGTGTTTTGGAATTACGTCCCTCTGTGGATTGTCAATATCTCGAAAGAGTTGTCAGTCTGTAAATCGTTTTGATTAAATGTTACCCTAAATCCGTGTTGTAGCTCGAGTTTCGAAGGTGAGGTAAATTTGCTGCATACTACTGAAATAAGCAGGCTATAACGAGTTATCAATTTCAAAATATAAATTAAGTTAGTAAAATCAACAATTTATCCAACCTGTAAAAAATATTGCCATTAGAACACTCGTAAATCAGATCCTACACATGGACTATAAAATATGAATTAGCTTGTATTTGAAAATAGTGACACATCTGCTTTTTGTAATACCTATAAATAAATAAATATACCTACCAACCTCTCGATGAAATCAGACGATTACTTAAGTAAATACATGTTACATAACGTGTAACATCCGCTTAACACGCATATGATGTTTATCAAAGCCACATGCAGTGGGGTTATACGGGGGGAAGTTGAAATATTACAGCCAATGTTCATAAAAAATGCGGATAGCGAAATCAGTTTTATGAAATATTGATAGGTACTCCATTTCTTAGATTTTTTCGCATAGAATCCAGTGGCGTACTTATTTGTTTATAATTCTAAAAAGTTTTCGACATACATCAAAGCTAGTTTTTTTCGTGCATTTCTCAAAAATTAAAAAAGTGATTATTGTTTTTTTTCTAAATTAAGAAAAAGAATAGAGCATAACATCTTCCTTTAACTAGACCATGGTTAACTACTATTTCCGTTAAAACAACACACAAAAAAGTAAATACTTGAAATGAACCTAATCAGCTTGTGTTGAGTAATTCCTAGTCTCATATATCCGCAAGAAGATATTTATTTGAAATGAAAAATATATATTTTTGTTTGTAGCAAAAGATATTCTTCATTTAATAGCGCCATAGTTCAAAATAAAACTAAATGCATCATTTCAAATAATTTCCACTTTTGTTTTGAGAAAATCATATTCTCACATTGATTATAATTTATTCAAATAGAGAAAATCTAACAAGCACTTCAATTCTATCATTTACTCAATGTGAATATACCGATATCTTATGTAAATGATATTCGTTTACTTGATCCGAGAAATTTACATGGTTTAGATATAATATTTTATTGGCTCTCTTTAAATTACAGAAAGTATTAATTTGAATAGAAAAAATATTGATATAAGCTAATCGATTATTCTACACAAAGACTTTCCGACTCAGTACGAATTTATGATGTATTTCCAACAAAAAATAAAAGAAATAGCTTTAAGTTGATGGTAATGGTTCCCTTGAAATCAAATAGTGTTTTTAACGAAATAGATGTTTACATCAAATAGATTAAACCAAATGTTCATAGTGATAAGAACATATATTTATAGTATATAATTATATACCTATATTTACATATGTACATAAATACATTTACACTGGATATTTCGATTATTCCAAATTGTTCCAAAATGCCAATATCGCTGTTTGGGAAAGTTCTTTCAAAGTCCAAGTTAATCTGAAAAAAACACTATATGAAACAAAACCAAATAAATCAAACTCAAACAAAGCTTAATGTTATACAGAAAATAGTTAAAACTATACACAACTTAATTTTTGTAAAATGCATAAATGTTAAAGTATTGGGAATATTACAAAACGGGCAAATTTGACTTAGTAAATTTGAATTTTTAATCAAAATGAAGTAGTTTTTCAAATAATAAAAAAGCGACAACTTTTTTATGACAACACTTGGGAAAATTCATATATTAAATATCTTTACAAATGATTTTCCGGATAATTTAAATAACTAGAAGTTGATGGGTTAAAAAGTTAATAATATAAATTTAGGGCGAAAAGTATTATTATTAGAGCAGGATTTGGACTTACCTAAAAATATCTGCACGGTTTCACTAGAAAGTCTCCAATCTGTTACCTAGTAATTGCTCCATACTTGCTTTAACTGGTTGTAAAAAGCTTAATTAAGTACACTTTTATACTCTAACTCTTAAAAAACCGACGTTCTTGCTGTAAACATAAACGCTATTGTACTCTGTAATGCATAGGTATATTTACAACATGCAGTTACTTACCTATGTGCAAAATGCAAATGGCGGCGAATAATGCTAAACTAAACAACGAAACGTTAAGTATGAACAGGGTTGCCACTAGGTCGACACGAAATTACTGACGAAACTTGATTGCATTCCTTACATTTCCTGGCAAAACTTAATTATATTATTACTTGCAATTCCTGGCAATTTAATAGTTTAATCTATTATTTTAGTGATTATTACCTTTGTCTTAACCGTCGTATCCCGTCAGTGTATAAATAGCTATCACTATCACTCTGTAACCTGTAATATTAAACATTAAACAAGGATCGCTGCCGAGTGCCAAGTGTGACAAAATATAATAGTAAAGAAGCATGATACATCGTCATCTAGCGGTGATATCGTGAATCGAAATTCTTAAAACTGATTAAAGTAATCTCTGTGCTCTGTGATGCTTATTTATGATCTTTTAATAACAAATGCAATAATGCAAATGTTGGGGGTTATTTGCAAATCGACATCCCTGAAAATGTTGCTCCCCTGGCAAATTTCTGACGTTAAGTGATTCCTGGCAAATTTACTGGCAGGACTCTTTATTCCTGGCAAATGCCAGTAATTACTGGCAAAACGGCAACCCTGAGTATGAACTGCTGAACAGAAAAGGAAAAGGGAAAAGACGCGAGCTTCAGACAAACGAAACATCTAGAATACGTTGCCTCGGCTAACTTCGCAAAATGCGCCGACGCACTTCATCGTGCCCTCCCACACCTGCATTCAATCTACGCAGTGTCTCACGTAAATGGTTTTACTGGGTGCGCCCGATAAATTTGGAATGAATCAAATTTTATATTTTACGGAATAATAATAATAATAATAACTTCTCATGAATTTTATAAAGTAAATATACATATTTATTTTGAGTGGAAGGTGGCAATTCTTTGCAAGATGCAACCGACATTTTATTAAAACTTCATTTAATTATTTGTTTGTATCAATTTGCTAGATGGTACATACTTGTAAAAGATTCCTTCAGTGTTATATTTTAATTATTATAAATTTGTAAGTTTATTATTGAATAACAAAAAAGTAATACCTAAAGCCGAAAATACCGATTTTGGTCTATTATTATGCTTTTGTATTTTTATATAGAGAGATTATTACTAATAAAGAAAATATTATCAATGTGAATTAATGTAGGTACTTGTTTAATATTTCTATATCAATAATTTATTTGCATCTCGTTGAGGAAATTAGCTATTATTGTTAAAGGAATCATATTATTAGAGAAATAAAAATATCTTTTTAGACTGAAGCTAGTTTCTTTTCATCAAGAAACAAGTGGATGTAAAATAGAGAGCCACGTATTCATTTTAATTTCCCAGATCTATTTCAATTACGCTCTGTTAAATACTCAAATTGAGAATATATTATTTCCAATGAACTAATATTCCAAGAACATCAAGAACTACATTTAAGAAACATCGTTTTTTCAATTTAATGATAGTTTCTTTCCATCAAGAAACAAGTGGATCTAAAATAGTGAGCTTCGTATTCATTTTAATTCCCCAGATCTATTTCAATTAAGCTCTGTTAAATACTCAAACTGAGAATATATTATTCCCAATGAACTAATATTCCAAGAAAATCAAGAACTAAATTGAAGAAACATCATTTTCTTAATTTAATGATATTTTCTCCGTTTGATACTATTGTTTATTTAAAAACTTGAGAAAATCTGCATTCTCTCTTTGAATATTTACTTTTTTGTGTGAATGTAGCTTTGAAAGTCATCCAAATTTCCAAACTTTTCCCAGAAAAACGGCCAATATTTGTGAAAATCTCAGTTTTCTGTCTTTAATAATAACTACTTGCTCTTTTAAAATGAAACTATTTGGAGGTCAACGAGATACAAACTTTTTATTTCACAATTCAACTACAAGTTCTGAGACGTTTCTAAGAGAAGATTGTATATTGCCAGTCAGTGTCTTAATACACTCAATTTTGCTCAATAATGTATCTATTTCTGTCCACACCTAATTGAGTGAAATTTCCACTCTATTAGTATGAGTACAACTGAGTGAAACTATTGCATCAGAAATGCGTGAGTTTTACTCAAACCCGAGTTGCTGCTAACTATCAATTGAGTGAGAGACATTTTTAGGTCTCGATTAAAGGAATTGATGAACTGATCGGACGAATAGATTGCCGTAACCTATATTGTACGTTACAAATACGTAATTATAGATAACAATCTAACTATCCGGTTATTTAACCAAATATTAATCGAGTCTTAATATATTGTCTTTAATTATTGTAATTAAATCACTGCATTTAATAACCAGCTAAACCAATACTTGTCCAACTCCAAAGCACACCATACGCCATACTGCTATCCACCACACCACGATCACTAGATAACCTAATGGGACGATGGGAACAGACAAAGACAATGCATCAGAGTGAAAGTACTCAGTTCTAGTTTCAATATAATCACAAATGAGTAAAATGATCAAACTGCCGAATATCGAGTGAAAGAAAATGTTCTCAATAATTTCACTTAATGGATTAGCACCACTTTCACTCACATCGATTTTTTTTACACTGTTCGATGTTAATGAATTGCAGCTTCAAAATCCTTGAAAGATGAATTCCTTCAATTTAAAATATTAGTAAAATTTGGATTCCCCTCGTATCCTCCTATTTACAAAGAGTCAAACAATTTTATAGCTTTATCCAGGTATTTTGAATGGAGGTGCACAACATAAAAACGCCAGCCTCCAGAGATGTTTACTTCACTGAGATCATTAAATTGTTTATACAGAACGTCGTGTTCAAGTTGTCTCTCGACATAATTACTTACCCTTAAGAGCTCCTCGAGTGGATAGTAACGATCTGGCTTCCTGGAATGTACTAAATGCGTCCGGTTTTGGAAATTTCACACAGCACTGACGTGCGAGTAATATTTTTATTAAAGGAGCATTTTTATTATATTATATCACTTATCATTTTTAGTAATTTTTTACTAAAGATTGTTTCTCGTTTTTCGTTATGATCATACTTGAAAAATATATTTTTATTCAACGTTTTTCTTTCATGTATATGCAACCAGAAAAACACGTCTCGTTTCAGATGCTTATGTTGGGTTGCATAAGGATTACAAACGCGTAGCTTGAAAATGTGACTTATCGATGGCATTGATTGAAATTATGTAATGAATTTTTGGTTATAATATAGGAAATTGTAGGAGGAGTACTGCTTTTGTTGATATATAAACTTCCTAAGCTCGTTAAATAATAACATACATAGTTAAAGTTTAATTAAACCGTAAAAATAGTAGGAACAAGTAACAGTAACAGTTTGAAGTAAAAACCTTGAAATTGTTAAAGATCTGCATATAACTTGATGCATTATTCATATCAGCATAACGTTCCCTAATTTATACCTACCGTTTGCATTGTTTAGATCGATGGTATCAGTAATAATTATTATTGTACCTGGTAATACCTGTTTTACCAAGTATAGCTAATGCAACTGGTTCTAATGTCTTATTCAACACAAAGAAAAAAATATGTAACTAACTGTTGTACAGGGATATCCACATAACAATTTGCACACCTTATATTTTTTGAGCTTCCATCCAAAAAAGAATAGTGAAGGAAATTTTCAAAGAAATGTATAATAAAATTTACAGTAAAATTTCGACATACTGGAAATGAACGTATAGTCCAGTCAATGACCATTTTCCCGTATAATTTTGCCAAACAGCACCGATTTTCATAAAAATTTGGATTTAGGTTCTACTTACCCTCTACTTCAAAGTTGACCTTGTACCAGGAGTTGCTTTTACCCTGGGGGTGGATGCCACCACTTCTCGGGGGTGAAAAATGTTTCATTGAAAAGAATGGGGAATATTTTTTTATAGAACTTTTGTTCTATAAAGTTTTTTCTGAAAGTCAATACTTTTCGACTTATCGCGAGTGGAAGTGTAAAATTTTTAACCAAAAAAAAAACATTTTTTCAGACAGTTTTTCGCGAATAACTCAAAAATTAAGTATTTTATCAAAAAAATCCTTATAAAAATGTAGCTTATAAAAAAAAAACAAAAAGAATGGTGTGTTTATGGTGCCTGTAGACCCAATACAAGCGGAGTAATAGCTTGAAGGTTGGTTCTTATTCGTCAAACGCCAAAATTGAAAGTTTGAACATGAAATAACCAAAAACCAATGCATTTTTCAGGGGATACTCATAGAACCTTTTTTAAAGTGCTTGAAAAAACCTTTATTTTTACTTTTTATAAAAGTCCCTAGCATCAAACCTAAGCGAGTCGTGACGAAAATAAAGTTGGTCCGTATTTTTTTCGGCGACAAAAAACGTGAAAATCACCCCCTAATTACCACCCCAATTGAAAATAATCCTTACCACTTTACAATTTACTTTATTTATGTACGTGTAATTTGGTTTAGAAGTTTGACCGGTTTAAAGTGCTTAGTTTTGAAAAAAGTTGAGCTTGAAGTGATAAGGGAATTTTTGTATTTTTGGAATAAATTATTTTTTCTTCAAAATAACTCAAAAAGTATTAATAATACGCGAAATTTTGTAGAGTACAATACTGTAGATTTTGCTTTTTTGAAAATTTTGTTTTTTTTTCTGTAGGATAAAAATTAAGTAAGATATGGCTGTTTAAAATTTGCATATGTTCGTAAATAGCAACTTGTTCAAGCCCTTTCAGATCAAACCCTTACAAAAATAAGGGCTGAAAGAAAATTTAACTTATTTGATCTTATAGCCCTTGAAAAAAACTACAAAATGGTTTTTTGAAGGGATTGATAGCATAAAAACTAAGCGAGTTACGGGTAAAAAACCAATCACATATTTTTGCAGATATCAGAACACGTATATTGGAAGT